TAAAAATCGGGTATGTACTCTATCACTAGCTAATATAACTACAATATACAATGAATTTCAATTATTGACTTGTGCGATGTTGGTTATGTATTGTCTATTGATGATTTATAATTCATTGCTTTAGGCACAACCACAGGGTCAAGCAGGGGCATCCACGGAAGCAGCACAACATGAGCGAAGTGAAGGAATTAAACAGAATGAAGTATCAGTTGAGGTAATTTTCCTTTTCATAATGTAGATTTTGCACAAGTAAACAACATAAAATTTTAACATATATGTACACTTGTGTAATGACTACATTCTACAATATGACTATTAAATCTTTGGATTGTTCTTTAGTTAGGGACTTGTCAGGAATTACCAGGGGGAGGGAGGGGTGCAGAAAGGGGGAGGGTCTTTTTTTTCAGGCCTTCAAAAGGGTGGGTCATTAAAAACTGAACCATTGAAAAGGGAGGGTCATAAAATTTTAAGCCATAATTTTCATAAGGGAGGGTCATAAAATTTAAGCCCTCATGATTCTAGACCAGATCACATTGATTATTGTATAAATAGTACAATATCTAAAACAGTGTTTTATAAACATGAGTTTATTCATTAACTCCTTCTCGACCGGCCCTGTGAAAACTGAAATAGTATTTTGGAGGTTCATATCTTCGGTTCAGTACATGCTACATAGATGAAAATACCACCATTCGATTCAGCGAGATAATATCCCCTGATTCCTAATGATAGTTTTAGTCAAAGACAAACATAGTGATTTATGACCTTTGAAGGGTCAAGCGGTCAAATTACAGGGTCAAATTACATATTTGTTCGAAAAATGTAAACAATGTATCACTAAAGCCATACCTTTCGCCAGACACAACTTCGCCCCCTTCGCACATGTCTTTTTCGTTGTAGTCTTGTTCGATTCACAATCAAAAACACTATTTACAGTGTTATTTTGAACCTTGTAGCCTCAGTTTTTCATCTTTTATTTCGATATTTCAATCTGTTGCGATATTAGTGAACTCAGCAGGATATTTTTTGACCGGAAATAGGATTTAGATTCGCCAAAACATCGCGTGTTTACATCCTAGCGCTCGGGAAACGTCGGAAATCGATTCTAAAGGTCAAATTACATCTGCAGCGTGATTTGCCCGTGCATCGGGTTACAGGTACTTCTTATTCGCCAATTTTAGCGTGTGGCAGGCGCATGCGAGTAAAAACCCGACATTTTTAAAAACTCAAAATAAAGATTTGTACTGGCTGTATTCAAGTGAAATTCTGGATATAAAAGCGCTTGAATACAGCAAATATTTCACTCGTATTGATTTGTGGCGAACTCTGAAGAATTCACAAGTTATATATGCTATTGTGGAAACAAAATTCCGAATGTTTGGTCAAGCGGTGAGTAAATATATGATTGTTTCGGTTTGTGTGATGCTTTGACGGCATTCGACCCCCCGTTGAAAAGGTTATTTTATTAGGATTTCAATGGTATTCTTTGTTTTAAAGGGGGTGAATATGCGCTGAGATATTTACGTTATAAACAATTGAGTTGTAAATTGTCAAAATGTCGCTGGTCGATAAAGAGTTAAAGATATTACTGTCGATGCAATGGAAGTGTTGATAAAATATTGCACCAATTCCTTTCCTCAAGTTGATCAATTCATTTGATAGAATATTGATCAACTTCCTGTTACTTTTAGATGAGCCAATTAGATTTCGTTTCAGAACCGATTGACCGATAGGAAACGCACAGGAAGTAAAAAGAAATTTGAATTCATATATGAATTGATCAACTTGGGAAATGAATCCATGCAATATTTTATCAACACTTCCATTGCATCGACAGTAAAACAAAATATAATGTATGGTATGTATCATATGTATGGATTTTGCACAGCAGGAAAGGGGAGGGGTCATGAATTTTTTCACCACGGCCAAGGGAGAACCACGATATTTCATGCTCATCCTTGCTAGGGGGTCACAGTTTTCCATCCCCCCCCCCCTCCCCCTGGTAATTTCGGACAAGTCCCTTATGTGATAACTTAAACATTTGTACACAAAGCAGGGCTGCAAATAAATATTTGACTCGACAGGACATTTGTCCAATCACTTTTAATTTTCATCGGACATAACTTGAATTTGGTCGGACATATATACGTTGCATATATAGGTATATATATAGGTATATATAAGTCATATATTTTTCATCGGACATATATAGGTATATATAAGTCACAAGACAAGTATGTATAGCCATTCTGGCGCAACGTTAAGTAAAATGCTAGAATGCCTCGTAAGTTCTACTGCAAAATGTAAATTGAGTGAATTTGCAATCGGATTTTGTCAAAGCAAAAAAAATGCAAAAAAACATTTTTTGATCTGACCAATGTCCGATCAAAATTACTTTTGCTCGGACATTTGCCAAATTTAGTCGGACATTGTCCGATGTCCGACAGTAATTTGCAGCCCTGCAAAGTTATTTAAATATTTTCCCATTTTACTTCAAGATTCAATTATTTATGGTTTAACCCAGCATTAACAAAAATATAGCTTTTGAAACAAAGAAAGTTACATTTTATGAATTATGTATCTCATACCAGAGTTTGAATTTTTGCTCTTGTTAGGAAATAATTGATGGTTTAGACCAGCAGACTCTCATAAAAGTTGCAAAGGAGGGGTTTACATCTAGACCACTAGTGTTGAGAGACTAAGAGTAAATCCTGATGTTCCACATGACCCAGATGTTCCACATGACCCTGGCCATCCACGTCCACCATATAATGCACCGGTCCCATTTTGTGTATGCGGGTATTGTCGGGAGATGCCCACGGACAAAGAGAGGGTGTGCTGTAAAGAAAAACGCCTGTGTCGAAGTAGGTCTCTGGCATTTCAGAATATTTGCTTGGATTCTGACAATCTGGCTACAGCTATTAGGAGTCTAGCAGATACATATGTATTCACACCAATATACAACAACCGAGCAATTCTGAGACATTCTGCGTATAGACAATATGTCATGTGGATACATGGACATCTGGGGAAGGGTAATCGCAAGGTCATTCCCTGCTGCTGTGTATGGAGAATAAGAAAGCATATTATCCGTCACCTAATGGACAATATACTGGCTACAAAAATACATAAACATTTCAATGTAACTTCCAAAATATGACTTTGCTATAGTATTTTGTAAAGACTGAAATTAACACTTGCTTAAACAGCACTAAGGGATGGATCATGTGATTTTGACAAGGGGGGGGGGGCAATTTTTGTCGCATGTTATTTTTTTCTTCGCGCAAGGATGTACAGGATATGCAGGATATTTTTTCGACATAACTCCCCCTTCCTTTTAACTGAAATTTTCCTTTGCAAGATTTTTTTTCTTGGTTAAACCTTTGCTCGAATTTTTTTTCTGTATTTCCCAACCTCCCTCTCAAAAATCAAATGGTCCGTCCCTAAGTGTACAGTACTTAATATGAAATATGTGAAATATGTTCCTTTACGAGCTCTGAAGTGGGTGGAGGAGGAAGACTTGCAATTGTGCCAGTGACTTTTTTGGGGTCTTGTGCCGATTGTACAGACTTTACATGTTTCTTCAATGTCTCGCTGGCTTCTTTCAGTACACAAGCCGCCATGACAGGAAGGTAACTAAAATTCTTCTTCTCTTTGATGATAACAACCTTCCATCTTTTAGCACGCTTTTGCTCCATCTCCTAGAGTACACCAACTCTCCTTTACTATTACGCGCTTGCTTGCGATGAAGATGGTGATTGTGGTCGATAGCAGCAAGGATGCTGCGAGCTTTCAAACCCTCGTATCTATAAACATAAATTCACTGTATGAATATAGGTTTATAAAAAATGTATTCTGGTATAAAATGACTGTAATTGCTATACAAAGTAGGCAAGTGGTTACAAACATGATAATACAACATAATTTGTTGCTGTTCAATACTTATGAGAAACCATAGCGTTTGGGGGCATACATCAATCTGTGACTGTGATATGCCTCCAACTTTCCTGTGTGCCTGTAATTAGAAACAATCAGAATAGCAACCCATGTTGTTTACTCTGTCTAGCACCAAATGATTTTACTCATCAAGCCCAATGATCAAGGAGGATAAATATTACTTACAAGACTATCCTCTTAACAAGTGAAATTAGCCAGTGTTTGGCAGTGTAATATAGCAAGGTACACATAGGACATACTGTATAGGGGTGGATTGAAACTGTCAATAGGGTAATCACATAGTATAGTGTAAAATGTTATATCTATTTGGAAAATTAATAAAAACCATAATTGTTGATCATTTTACTCACCGAAAACGAGTGTAAAATGGCAGTGACTTTAGAAATTTTTTATTGAGGACAATATTTCGGAGGGCTTGCATTGGGGCAGAGTCCTTGTTTATCCACTCCCTTTCACTGACATCATCAAGAGGTCCATGCGAGCATTGGCCATTATACCATGAGTGAATGTTGGCAACATGTTTTAAGACGTGGACCCAGTCAGTCTAATAAAGTGAGAGTACATGAAACGACATAAGTTTAAAGCCAAATATGAGATATGCAATTAATTAAATATGCAGTAATATTACTTGACTCATGTACGTACATCTTAGACAGATTGATGCAGTGCAATCTGATAGGGAGGTGTTGGGGAAAACATACTATGGGCAATGTTTCAGAAAATAAGATAAATTTATAGAAACAGCAAAATATTGCCTGGGAGAAATATTATGACAAAAACATGATGTGTGCAATGTATCTTACCTTTAGGTTCTTTAGATCACCACCACAATTTTTAACACAATGCCAAAAGTGATTCTGAATAGGTGCTACCCATGCCTTCAATATCTCGTTCTTTTTTTGCCTTACAAGCCTTGAAATAAATAATGCATAAATAAACAGGAATGCCAACAAGTTATAAAGGGGGGGATGGGAAGTTTTAAAAAGGGGCACATTGGTAAAGTGGTGGAATATTTAAAGGGGCATCCAAATGATATGTGAACTTGAAATTAAGTTCTTTGTCAACAACAATCCACTGCAATCATTTGGTTATTTATTATGGACATAAACTTAATATGCCCTGACACTGACCCTTTAAAAAGGGGGATAAAACCCTTTTCGAACTATGAGTCACCATTCATTCAGTCAGTCATTTGCAGGGAATAAAAAGGAAAATACAAACAACCTTCATCATCTTCTTGTCTAACTTGTTGCTTTTATGCCCATATATCCAACTGATGAGCAACGTTTTCGTACTTCTTATCCGTGGCTAAAAATATAGAACATATATAATATTACTGTACTGCATTATTGTAACTATTGCTCTGTGAATGTGTGCAGTATACAGAACATTCCTTTTTTATAAAAGATATATATTATTTGACTAAAATACTAACCCAACATTTTAATCAACTGAGATGAAGCATCAGTCACAAGTTCCTGTACAGATAACTTCTGCATGAGGAAATCCATTGCCTATTCACACCCAACTTTCTCCATGACTACACTCTTCAATTGAGCGTGGCATACATCAACCACTTCCACATGAAGAACATAATCAAGTTCTTCATGCATTAGTGTGTAAACACAGTTTTTCGCAGAAAAACCAGGTGAATCCATTTGCCTGTCTCCAGCTACAACTGGCTGTGTCCCAGCAAAGAAAATATTTTCTCTTGCATATCAGCCCACCATAAATGAATTTGAGGTGCTAGGTACAGCTTTTGGTACTGGTGGAAAGATGACGAGCCAAAGAATGCCAACGAAAGACATTTGGAAAATAACGCCACCTTTGTGTAGTTATTGCCAGTGAATAATAATGCGGCTGCAGTCAGTAACTTGTTCACATACAACTTTCTTCACCATTTTGCTTGACTTCCATTCACCACAATGGCCAGCTTTACATTTCCATCTTATCTCAAGAACACAGCCGACAAATGATTCTTTTACATCGGTTAATGGCATTTTACAGTCAATGTCCATACAAAAGGCAAACAGTTCTCGTATGCTTGACATACTACATATAAATTTCTTCTCATAGCTCTTCCTCAATATCTGCAACCTTACAATTCTCGTAGCCAGCTGGAAGAAGTCTGGTCAAAGGATCGTTTCCCTCCACTAAATCAGGCTGTTCATATGACATTGAAGGTATGTTACATTCAATGGATCCTAATCCTTCAGTTGAACTAGTGTCCATATCAACTGGTTCAATCAGTGTTGAATCAATGCCATCATTTTCATGATCCAAAAAGTCTTTATCACATGAAATGTTCAGTTGATCAAATTCTGGTGGCAAGTAACATGCTTGATGAATGTTATCATCATCATCATCATCATAACTACTAGTGCTACTGACATCAGATTCACAATAAACATCATCACCACTTTCATCTGCACTTTCATCAAAGACACTTTCATCATCGCTGTCATCTTGTAGATGCAGGGATTGCATTGTAATTGAAGTGTTTCTAATCACCGAATCAATAAATACTCTATTGTGGGTGGGTAGAGTGAGATGTTCAATGACCAATGTTGATTGATTGACACCTAAAATAGATTATACATAACAGTTCAGTAAAACAGTATAAAATAATCTACTTCTAGTAATGTGGGTCTTGTGGCACTTGCTGGCTACATTGACGTTTTTATTTTGCCATACTGTACAGATTTCCCCATAATCTTATCAATAATTGAGCAGGATATCCAGAATTATTCAGACCGAGGTCAATGAAAACTGAATTCAATTATTGTTTTATTATTCATTTTCATCCTTGAATGGGATGCAAAACGGGCACTTGTAGGCTTGTGGCCATTGTAGTTAAGAAAACAAAATCACAAACTTCCCACGCTTTTGTAATTTCATGCACGTTACCGCTGTAATGCCGCAGGCGCCGTCCAATAATCTCTCCTATGATTTGTATATATGACATCATGGAATTATTTCTAGATATGATGTCATAATTACAAATACTAGGAATTATTTGCAGGAGGCTAACCAATCAAAACACAAATTGTATATCTAATGAATAATAATGTAAAGTATATGTATCCATATTTACAAATTGAAAGTACAAAGTCAAAAAGCTGATAAAGCTGGCATGCCAAAAATAAAAATCAGTAAACAGTATGAGTTACCTGATTTAAAAAGAGGTGTTTTTTGCCTTTGCAAGGAGTTGAAGTCGCTATAGGGGAGCCAAAGTCAACATGGCTTGTCACTGACAATGGACTGGCTGGTAACGTCCTGAAACACAATTCACAAACGTTATGTTGTTATATTCAATGCAGAATTTATCGGTTTAATAAAAGCCTTATCATTTAAAAAAAAACTAATCAAATACCTTTCCCTTTCGTCTATACCACCAAGCAGTTAGTTGTTCCGTGACATTTGAGACATTGTCACGACAAAGGTCATTCTGGGCACATTGCAACAGAAATCTGGCAAACGTTGTATTATCCTTAAAATTGTGCTGCTCCCTCATATGTATCCACTCATCAAATCTTCCTGAACCGCGTCTTTTGCCACCGTTCATTCTGCTGATATTCTCAGGCACTCGAAAAGATGGGCCAGGCTCATCAGGAGGACGAAAGTTTATATCGTCGCTAGAAGACTTAGAAGTTTCCATACGGTAACAATTTGCCGAACACATACGCTGTCTAGCCGGTGCTTTATGTCATGTCAAACGTCTTGTCATATATACTTGCCAAAACAGTCGAGTAGATTTATCATAATATCACTCTGACAAATATAAACACTGTATAAACAGCCATCAAAAACATGTTGACTACTCACAAGTATCATATCTTTAGGCCTTAATTATATTATGGGTTTCAGTTTGTAAATAAAATAGATAGAACAGTTCATATATAAACGATAGTGTTTTAAAATAATAATATTAATAAAGAGAATTTTATAGTCATTAAAACCTCGATTGATGGGCTTTAAGAAGCGATTTCACTGAAACATCCGCATTGAAGGGGGTGATACTGAATAGCAGCTATGTTGGGTTAAATGTCCAATCCTTCTTCGATTCTTTTCTTGAAAACCTTTAGTAGAAGCTTGAGGATGTAGGTATATCATAGGGAAATGCAGGCATATTAAATGAGCACGCTCTCCATCGATGAAAACAGTAGAATAGATACACTTTGATACCACGGCATGCATGCGTCTTCCGGTGTGCAGAAGTACTCATACTCATGGATACTACATATAAGATACAGCCAGCCAAACGAATCTCAGTGGAGTCCCCTACTTAAGGTGGCTTTTCAACTAAAAAATGACTGTAGGGCCCCTTTTAAGATTATTTCAAATTGATATTGACCATTGTAGTAAAGAATGAATAAGAAAACCACAAGTTAACCAAATCCTCAGTAGCTGTCATTAGATCATATAGTATCTTCATAAATAAACTAATAAATAGTAAAATCCAGAAAGCCAGAATATCTCCAAATTTCACTCTGGTACATTTGATTCGAATTTTTAATTTAAAGAAACAATATTCCAATAATTATAATTCTGCAAGTTCCATCCAAATAGTCCTATTTCAAGGGACCCCACAATTGTTGAGAAGCAGGGCAACACCAGGGCTCTTCTGCATGTTTTAGTAGTCTTACTATCCTCAGGGGCGGATCCAAGGGGTATCAAGTGTAGCTCAAGATACGGTCAGATTTTTCCAATTATGGATAGTAAAATAGTTTTGGGGAAAAGTTCACCATTAATATATTATTACACAATTAATTTATGTTTAAAAATAGTTAAAATTTGAGTTTACTAAGATGAACGAGGGCAAATTCTTACGTAAATTTTAAAATTTACAGCTCTAAATATAACATTAGCCACCTTTTTAAAGCATTTAATTATTTTTGAAGAAGATGAGCCGAGAGCGCTTTCAGAAGGCATAACCCGAGCCTACGTAATCCGATCGGAAAAATGTTTTTAAATGCATCTGCGGGGTTCTGATACGGTCCGCGGTTCAAATGTTACTAAAAATAGTAAGTTAATGAGGTATTTGGATACCGTGAAGGGTATCCAGCCAATCACAGGACGTGTATCTATGACGTCGGATACCCTCTGATACTGTGGCTGTATTTTGATTGTGCAAGAAATGAAATCATTGTGAACCGCTCGGAAACTTCGTCTCATATTGCTATAAACAGGCAAACAACCGCATTCTTCTAACATAAACTGAGTGAGCGATGGCCTTACATAATTTCGGAAGACATCCTTGAAATAACACTTTATAAATAGTGTTTTGGATGCCAATTCAAACAAGACTATTACGAAAAGGATATATCCGAAGGGGCCAAAGTTATGTTAGGCGAAAGGTATGGCTAGTTTACATTGTTCGAGAAAATTGAGTATTATAGTGAAATATATATAATATTGCTTTACCTCTCAAAGTTCATAAATTGCTATGCAGGGTGCATCAAAAAAGTAAGACAATTTTGAAATTGCTCTCAATTTCACAATTCTGTTCATGAAATGTAATTTTTTATATGTATGGATTGCTTGAGTTCTTAAATTATGGAAAATATAAAAAAAATTGAAAATAGTAAATTTTGCTATCCGGGGGGGTGGTCAACTTTTGCTCTCCTAAAAGTGGCTTGCGCACGGAAATGACAAACGGTATTCTTTATTTTAGTTCATGTATGAAACGTTCGCTATTTGTTGCATTTATGATAAAATTTTGGCAGGATTTTACCGAGTACAAATCCTCCGAAAAGCCTATGAAAACGTTACATTTTTCTCTGTTGGTGCTGTTCTTGCTTCATTATGAATTCATTTTTACTCCCATGAGAGTTCCTTGGAATTTCCATGGAATTTCCATGGAATTTGGGCTTTCGAGTTGTTTGTGCTGAAACGCATTCTCTCGTATAATACCCCGTACACTTTGAAATGGCGATGCCACAATTTACCCCGCAGCAGAGAGCTTTTATGCATGGTATCAGAGTTCCTCCGTAGCAACAACATAAACTTGGTTCGCCAAAGTTTCACGAACGAATATCCAGATGTACGATGCCCTTCACGTATTCGCACGTCAAATCAAATTGTCTTAGTTTTTTTGATACACCCTGTATATATAATGTTGACATTTGACTAAAACTATCGTTAGGAATTAGGAGATATTCTTTCAATGAACTAAACAGTCGTATTTTTGTTTTCATAGCATTCGCCTAAGCGAAGATATTAATCTGCAAAGTCATATTGCGCCAGTAATATGTTATTAAATAGGGGTTGAGAATATTAAATGTACTCAGTCGCAAAAGCCGACTTTTCTATGTCAAAACACCCCCGGCCACGTTTCATGAAGCAGAAACTTGAACACTGACACCAAGAACAGTTATTGTGTGTTTTTTTGTTACTTTATGTTTCAAATATCACCTTGTTAAAAGGCTAAATTTTAGGACAGAATCATCGGCTCAGAATGCAGGAAATGGCTGGCATTTCCAGAGTTCAAATTAAAAAAAAATGTTTTCAAAAACGGTGTTTTTCAAGATAAAAAACTGGCTCCTACAATGTTTTCAAACTCGAATATTTTATGCATTGTATGATTGCTGTACAGTGTACAAAGTTACTGAAAAATACATGAATTAGTGAATTTTTAGTGTGTCATATGTCAGAAAAATCAGGATTTCAATTTTCCCGCAGAATATTTCCATGAGTGGACATATTTTTTGTCTTTTTGTGTGAAAGTTCACTTTCTGGCTGCGTGGATTGAAATATGTTTTCATTTGAGGTTCAAACATTTCTTGCACTTCCAAGATAGACTTAACTTCAAATCAACAGAGTGCCATAGTAAATTCATCATAACTTTTCGAGATTAAATGCTATGATGAAAATTCTTGCAGATTCTGAAAGCTGAGTTCTTTCTCGTTCGAACGGTATGCCACTCATTTATGTAATGTATATATTTCTATCTCAAAATGAGAATTCATAGAATTGATTCTTTCAGAATCTGCAAGAATTTTCATCATAGCATTTAATCTCGAAAAGTTATGATGAATTTACTACGGCACTCTGTTGATTTGTGATTTGTTCGAGATTATTGAAAACAGAAAGTACATGTATATCTGAAACAGTAAGAATGGAAAAACTATTTTGCCCCAAACGTTTTTAAATTTGGACTTGTGATTGTGTTGAAAGGCCGAACTATTCAAGACTATTTATAATAAAATTATTTCCCTAAAGATCTGTTTCATGAAGTGGATCTACTTTTATATTAAAGCACTTGAGTTTTGTTATGACCATTATTATTAGCATGACAAAATTACTGGATGCTGATTGGTTGAGAGGTGTACAATTATTTCATTAATTGTACAGCTGTACAATTAATGATTTTTCAAAAAAAAACAAAATGGCGGAAAGGTATGTAAATACAAATTTAAATGACCTAGAAGAACTAAAAGAAAAGCCAAAAACGAAAATACAAGCAAAAGTACAAAATATTGGTTAAAAGTATGGCAAGACTGGGCTTTGGCAAGACAGTGTGACCCTGAAATCAAGAATTATCCACCTGAAGAGCTTGATAAAGCACTACAAAAGTTTTACGCTGAGGGGCGAAGATTACAAGCCTGACTGCTTGAAAGTTATGCAAGCTGCTTTGGACAGACATTTAAAAAACATAAACTATCCCTGTTCAGTAATTCGTGACCGAGAATTTCACATTTCAAAGCAAATTCTCGAGGGCAAGGCTCGTCAACTCCGCGATAATGATCGCGGGAAAAACCAAATGCAGCTAAACCACTGACCCTGCAAGAAGAAGAATTGCTGTAGGAACAAGAAAAACTGGGCAATTCGTCTCCACAAGCACTAATTAACACAATGGGGGGGCTACTTACTCAACACTTTGGTCTACGGGGACGACAGGAACACCATACAATGGCAGTCGAAGATTTCGAGTTTGGAGAAGACGACAACGGCATCGCGTACGTCAGCTTCAAGGAAAATCCTACCAAAACTCGCCAAGGAGGTCTCCACATCACTAGACGACAACAGCTGCCGAAAATGTTTGCCACTGGTGAAAAAAGATGCCCGGTTTCTTTGTTTAAAGAATATCTCATCCGTCTTCCAGAATCTTTGCGAACAAATGGGCCATTTTATCTCATGCCATTGTCGAAAACAAACCCAAACAACGACGTCTGGTTCAAAGTGCAAAATCTTGGTGTCCATTCAATCGATAAGATAATGAAAACGATGATAGCTGACACTCCACTGGCAAGTAGTTCCAAAAGGCTGACAAATCATTCTGCCAGAAAAACCCTCGTGAAGAAGCTGCGGTCAAACAACGTTGAGCGTTCGTCCATCATGAATGTGACTGGTCACAGAAACGAGCAGTCGCTGAACGACTACGACGAGGGAAACGAGAATGAGCAGAGGCACATATCCAATCTAATCGGCAGCTCCAAATCAGTCAGCTCATTTAGTAAACAAAAGCCAATGTCCATGAATATGATGAACATTGCCCCACCAAGTGCACAGCAGCCTTCCACTTCAAGCGGTTTTCAACGAGTCGGTTTCTTTCCCCAAAACACGTTTAACCACTGCAATGTCGTTTTCAATGTTGGCCAAGGTGAATCCAGCTTATCTCCCAAAGTCAAAAAGCGCCGTTACAAGTGAATTGTTATCGACAGTGAATCTGATTCACAAGAATAAAATATATTAATCGAAGGCATCGGCTTAGATTTAAACGTTGACTGTTTGTTATTGATTTCAACATTTAGCCACGTTTGCAAACATTTTTTTAATATTTATATTGTCCAGCATATTTTGCACACACTATGATCTGACCATTTCTAGTTCATGTAAATAATTTGTATTGTGTTTCTGTTGAAATAAACAATCTGGACACATCTCTGATTGTTAATATTTGTGAACTTTTTACGCGTGGTCGAACCAATGTCTGCTCACGTGATTTCGGCTTGAAATGTCGCCTGAGGGAGGGCCTAGTGGATGTAATTTTGTCATGCTAATAATAAACAAATAATCATGCGATGTTGCTTGTACAAATAGGGATTAATAGTACTCGTGATGTTTGCAAATTTTGCCAAATTGGACTTGCCCCGGCGGCTCGTGCAATTTTGGCAAAATTTGCAAACATCACTCGTACTATTAATCCCTAATTGTACTCACCATCGCATGATTACCTATACTAACATTGGGCTGGCTCAGAGAAGGAGTGGTCACTATACCACAATGCACCGCTTCTCATTAATATTCAGAATTTAAAATAATTAATAATAATTAATTATTAATAATTATTAATTTTGTTTTACCGCCAACTTTATAATTTTAAAAGTTTTTTTTATTTGTATATAACATGGTTCTAATTAATTATTTAAAGTGTGTTGAAAGAGAAATATAGATGATATGTCTTTGAAAAGCACAAAGTTATCAAGCTCTTTCCTTGCTTCAACTAGAGAAATTTCCCAAATATAACTTTTGAGAGATGTTTGTTGAAAAAATTGTGGTTGTTTATCACGATTTTTCACTTTTTTGAAAAAGGTACGATACTTTCATTTTTGGAAGGTACGATTTTATAATTGTTTTATTTCTGACCCTAATTATATGTGTGATTATGTTAATCACACATATAATTACCCTTGGTCAGTGCACATGTCACAAAAGTGGCTTTGATATTTGCTGGGGGTTATATGCTTTTTAAATCAGGAAATTCAACAGAATTTACAACATCTAATTCAGGAAGGGTTACTTTTTCTATTGATACTTCAAAACATAAATAACCCCCTTGAACTGATGAGTTATTGCGGTTTAGGTAACTGCATTGGCTATAAAAGAAATACGCCAGGGGTTAAATAGTTTATAAATCAGGAAATTCAGCAAAATTCACATCATTGAATTCGGGAAGGGTCATGGTTCTAGCTGATAGTTTAAAAACATTAATAATCTCCTCCAACCGACAAGTAATTGTTGTTTGAAAATGGGGTATTTTTGCTTTTGTTGTTGCCAATTGCGGGTAAATAAGACTCTATAGTTAATATGACGCGACATAAACAAAGCCAGCTTTTCTAACATATTATTCCTGATTGTATCATTTGTTTTTATAGAATTTGAGTTTATTGGAGAATACTGATAATTTACTGATGTTGTCATTGTTGATCATGATTTGGAAAATGAGGAAACTCAAACTACTGATATGCCAGGAAACCAACCTTGTGTGGAAAATTCAGTCAAGCTTTGTTTCAAAGTCCTGGCACATCTGCAAAGGTATAATAAACACAATTCGAGAATGAAAAACAGACAAGATGTACTTAAATTTTTTGTATATTCATGTGTAACACCTCTGCTGTAACATATTATTTATAGCTATTATGTCATCTGTGACTCCGTTTCCATTTTAGTAAGTGATATATTTTTGTGGTTTCCTAGAAGAATGATCAGGCTGACTCCTTCAAAGAAATCACCAGTGAAAAAACATAAATGGACCTTTGAGGAGAATAAAAAAGCTTTGATCGAGTTCATATCTATTGCCAAAACAGATCCAAGTATGGAGAAATGTTGTCCATAATAAAATAAAATAACAGCAATTTACAATATCCTAGTAATCTATGTCACTGTTATAATTGTAGGGATCCATAATAAAATAAAATAAATAACAACAATTTACAATATACTTTTTGTGTGTGTTGGTGTTATGTACTCAGGTGAATATCTACCTCCTCCGCAAGCCTTTCAAAAAAAAAAAAAAATTGGTGGGAAACGAACGGAAAGGCCTGCAAGACCAATTTTCCAAAATGGTGGGAGGCACAAACCAAATTATATT